CTTTATCTAACAGGATATCCTAAACATTCATTATATGACTAAAATGTTCAGAATACTCAAAGAAATAGACTTAAATGGAAATACAACACATGATAAATTATAGCTTCATGGGAAAAATAAAGACACCATAAACTTATGATGAGGAAATTGTCAGCATATTCCCATAGTTCCTTCCCACGAGAGGGCATCAATCTCTCTGGTTAGAGCCAACTGAAGACTCAATGAAAATTGCTGAAATTACTCCATTTGTGGTAGGGGGGATTGGAGAGATGGGTGAGTACAGGATGGATTTATCATTATGCTGCAAAGTTTCTTCGATGGTACTACCTACCTATCAAATTATTAGTTTGGCAAAATATTTGGTTACTTATGCACGAAGGCATAAATATGTTAGTGTTTTATTGGGGTGGGGGAGGGTTGGCAAAATGGCTCTACCATTCCCTGGGATCGGATGCTACAAGTCAGCTGCTTTCATTTTTCTTCCCCATTTGACCATAAGCTTCTCAAGGGCTTACAGCTACAAGCAACTTTATCTATGCACCTCAGAGCCCAGCAAAATGGCCAGTATGTGCAAGTGGCAGCACCATGAGACCAATGAGGGAGCTGGGACAAGAGTCCGAACAGCACAGTTCTGGCTGCCAAAGAAAACAGAGCCTGTGGAGTGTGGGCAGGAGGAGAATCACCACAGTGAGCCTGGTTAGGGACATCTGCAGCAACTCATGAGCAACTGAGTAATTAGGACACAGAGAAAAGTAATGTCGTAGGCTGCTACAAATTAACTGGGAGATAGGTTAAAAAAAAAAAAAAGCTGGCCAGCACAATTATCATCTGTGGTTCTGAAAAAAGAAGGTGTTGTACAAAATATAATTATGTGATGAATCATTTGGAGGCATTTCTAATGAAAAACACTCACTAGAAAGGATTAACCAGAAGTTGTGTCCATTGTCTGATACAGAGTTTGTCGCTCTCATCTTCTTTCTAAGCCTCCATAAATCCACGGGAAGCTTCTGTTTATTGATTTTATTTGCAGAATGTACTCAGGGTATAAAGTAATTTGATTTTTTTTAAATGGGGTTTAGGGTCTGCCCCTACAGGGTTATAATTTACCACGCATAAAAGCCAACACATAAAAACAAACATACAATTTAAGGAGAGAAGGGCTCAGGGCAGCAGAACCTGGGAATTCAGCAAGGTGGTAGGATTACTCCTGGGCGCAGCCACAAGCCCATTTATCTGCGGGGCTGAAATCTCCTGGTGGGTGATATTTTGGATGCCTTTCATGCATGGCATCACTGAACTGTTTTTTGAAAAATGCACCAACCCCACAGAGAAGAGCACAACAGTTATTTAGCAGACATAGAGAGGGAAAGGAGAATTTTCTTTATTGTTTATCAGAGCTAAAAATAATGCCGTGAATGTTAGCCATCTTTGCAGCTTGTGTAAAATTTGTCCTTTTCTCATCAAAGTCAGCAGCCCAGACTGATCAATGCCGTTAACGTTGCCCCCGATCCAGCTCCCCCATGCGTGTGCAAGCTCATGCAGACTGTAAACTGAAGAATAGCACCTTGTGTTTTTATGCTTCTTTTGCAGAGAATCTCTTTTTAATTCCAAGCGATTGTGGGTAATTAAATTTTATAGAAGAATTTTTTCTTTACCAACCCCATTAGGGTTCTGTTGCACTTGTCCGTTGCCTCATAAAAGAAAAAAAAAGGGAAGCTGCCACATCTGTCCCTTAACTACTTTGCGTGGATTCTCTGCCTTGTGATTCACAGTATGCATTTGTGACAAGAAATTCTCCATACTTGGAGTCATAAATGCCGAGAAGAGTAAGCCAGGCAAGCAGAAGAATGCTGTATGTGGGAACAGTGATTCACAGAGAGCCAGTGAAGGGCTGACCTTTCCACCTTAGCAGAAAGTAGATAATAAACAGCCTTTGTGAAACTTTTTGGTGATTGCATCACCATGGCGGTTATGGCCCCTGAGTAAAGTGTGGACTTAGCTGTGCAGTGTGATAGCCACAACTTCAAAAGAGGCAGGGGAGCTGTGAACTGCTGGGGACACCAGTAGAACACCGGGCAGCAGCAATCAGAATCCTTTGAAATGGAGTCTTAAAGGCAGAGCATCAAAGGGCACCATCAGGTTTGCAGTTACTGTCGCTGCAAACGAAAGGGCAGTCTTAGCCTGTTGGAGTGGGCCAGTGGGCAATCTCTTTGGTGACATCTACACTAATGGAAAAATATCACCACCCATAACAGCATCTTTGAAAATAGATGCAAGGATACCTCTGGGCATCAGACACAAAGCAAAGCTATGACTCCTCACTGGGAAGGGTCTCACCTGACCCATCTACCATTCAAAATGTTTCAGTCCAGAGCTCAAAAATCTAGTGCTGATCTCAGCAAGTCCACATACGCACCTCTGTGTTAACACCCTGCACCACATCTTCTGTTCAGCTTCACGGAACAGGCAGACACCAATAGTCATCACATGGGAAAATAACATTAGGAAGCTAGTAGTTCCTGAGAGCGCACCGTGTGCCAGACACAGGACCAGCAGCCAGACCTGCAATGTCTTGCTTAATCCTCACAGAGATTGTAGGAGGTAGATTCTATAATTCTCCCCATTTTATAGATGAGAAACTGGGGACTTTCTGAAGGTAATTAATACGCCCAAAGTTACCCAGCAACGAAGTGGTGGAGCCAAGAGCACTCTTAACCATTGCCTTTTATTTCCATAAACACCTCAAAATCTCTTCATTAAGCCATACACTCATACTTTTCCGTGGGAAATATTTTCTGAAAAATTACTTTCTCAAATTTAGCCATGGGAATGGTTTCTTTGAAAGCAGTACTGCTACATTTTAAACATATTGTCATTTGTAAATTAAGCTATTGATAAATTCCTTTGAAGCTGGAGTTTGAAATGCAGTGGAACCATCAATTTCTACTGTGGATGTGATGGTCCTGGAACACACAATTAAAATGTGGCTATGATACATGGTAGAGAATCATGTTAACATATAAGCTAAGAAAAAATAGGCTATATAGACACTTTCCAGCAAGATTCAGGTCTGAAGAAACAGAGATGGTATAGTGAGCTGGTCCTGAAGCCCAAAGAATGTCTTGATGACAGCGTTTCTCAAAGTGTGGCTCACAGGGCGATCTGCCTCAACATCACCCGAGATCCTTACTAAACATGCATTCCTTGACTTCAAGCCTAGGAATCTACATTTTAACAATCTGCCTAGATGATTTTATGCACAGCAAAGCTTGAGAAGTTTTGATCCACACTAGAGTAACCAATTCAGCTTATGCTAGAGGTTGGAAAAAATGCTACAAAGAATAGTAATATTCAACACAAGAGAAAAAAGACACAGTCTCTGAAAATCTCTATAGAGACTGATGTACCCCAACTTCCAAAAACAACTTTGAACCCCTGCATGGATGTGGTGTTTACATATAAACTAAGTTGCAAGGCATTTGAGCAGCTCTGGGATAGTCACTATATGCAGGAAGTATCTCTCTGACACAGTTTTCTGAAATGTCAAGATTAGAGGCGACAATGTTTGGGTGATTGTATTATCAGCAATGTCACGATTAGAGATGACAGTGTTTGGGTGACTGTATTCTCAGCAATGTCACGATTAGAGATGACAATATTTAGGTGACTGTCTTATCAGCAATGTCAAGATTAGAGATGACAGTGTTTGGGTGACTGTCTTATCAGCAACGTCAAGATTAGAGATGACAATGTTTGGGTGACTGTATTATCAGCAATGTCAAGATTAAAGTGACAGTGTTTGGGTGACTGTCTTATCAGCAACGTCAAGATTAGAGATGACAATGTTTGGGTGACTGTATTATCAGCAATGTCAAGATTAGAGATGACAGTGTTTGGGTGACTGTATTATCAGCAATGTCAAGATTAGAGATGACAGTGTTTGGGTGACTGTCTTATCAGCTTAACATCAAGATTAAGACCAAACAGTGTTTGGGTGACTGTCTTATCAGCAATGTCAAGATTAGAGATGACAATATTTGGGTGACTGTTACCAGCAATGTCAAGATTAGAGACAACAATGTTTGGGTGACTGTCTTATCAGCAATGTCAAGATTAGAGATGACAGTGTTTGGGTCAGTGTTTGGGTGACTGTATTATCAGCAATGTCAAGATTAGAGATGAAAGTGTTTGGGTGACTGTATTCTCAGCAATGTCAGGATTAGAGATGACAATGTTTGGGTGACTGTGTTATCAGCAATGTCTTTTTCTTTTCCAGCTCTCCCTTCTGGCCTTCTTTGAAAATTAAAATAATTCCAACAGGAGAAATTAATTAAATTGCTATTACTGTAGCATAAATTTTATCTATAAAAAGGCAGGGCTGAACAGGATATTAGTAATAACTAATCTTTTTAAAACCCTTTTGAATGTATTATCTCATCTTGCTTTTGATAAAACATACAAAGTAGTCCTTATCATCTTTTACAGATGCAGAAACTGAGGTATAGTGACTTGCCCAAGACCACGCAGATACTACTCAGCAAAGCCATTTAGCCACTCATTCAGCAAATGTGTGTTGATTGTCCACTGTATGCACTGTTCCAGGTGCTGGAATAAAACAGATCAGGTTTATGTTCTCAGAAAGTTTACATCTGGTCACGTATCCAAGAAGACATGAATCAAGGTCACCTGGCCAAAAAGCCTGGTGTATCAAAATCCCTCTGTACCAAAACCCCTCAACAGTCTCATGGCCGCTTTCATGCCTCAGTCTTCTTGGCTCCACATCCCTGATTAGTTCAGGGGAGGATACTGAGAACCTGGGAGAGAGCACGGTGCTGAAAGTAGGTAGAAAAAAAGAATCTAAGAAAAAAGGACATGGAGGGAGAAAAATAAATAAGTAACCTCACAGTCACAACCACTTCACTAATCTTATCATTGTCTTGGCTTCTGGCTGGCCTTGCCTCCAGGTGACATTTTCTTTCCTTTTCTTACCCCTACTGCAGCAGCAGCATTGGCGTGTTCTTCTGTGGACCTAAAGCTCTCTCAAGGACCCTTCAAAAGATGTGCCGCTTGTATTCATCAGCTGACCCCAGAGGTGTTCATTTCTACTACAACAAGGAGAGCTTCTAGACTTTGGAGGTCAAGACCAGGCATTGTGTAAGTGGCTGTAATCATATAGGTCAGGGATTGGGAAACTCTTCCTACAAGATGCCAAATAGTAATCATTTGAGGCTCTGTGGACTGTATGGTCCCACTCTCAACTCCTGAACTCTGCCATTGTAAAGTGCCAACATTGCCACAAACAATAATGTCAATGAATAGGTATAGTTGTGTTCCAATAGTATTTTACCGATGGACACTGAAGTCACATTTCATATAATTTCCTTGTATCATGAAATTTTTACAAATTGTAAAAGTCACTTTTTGCACATCGACCATCCACATAGTCAGGGAGAGGGCTGGATTTGGCCTGTGGGCCAGAGCTTGCTGACCCCTGGCATAGGCTGTCTTTCCCAAACTTGTTTCCATGCCCAACATTACATCCAACATGGAGACTTATGCTGCTGCTTGGCTTGAAGTTTCCTTTAGAAATCATTTCAAATTTTCATTTCCCTGATGGCAGAGACACACAACTTATATCCAAACCTGATCTTTTCTGCTTTAAACTTATGCTCCTTTTGTGCTTTTGTTCATCCTCTGTAGACCACAGAAATCACCAACGGAGGTTATCTTTCATAAAAGTCCTTTAGATATTTGAAAATGATAATCAAATCATCCCTTTCCTATCACTTTTCTGGTCCAAACAATACTAAATTCTTAACCTTTTGGCCTAGGATATATATCAAGCCCTTCCATCACCTTGTTGCTCTTATTCAAATTCGCTTCCATTTCTTCATATCCTTTTAAAATGCATTGAGAAGCGTGACTAGTATTGAGCAGAAGAGGGACTTTCTTAGAGCTTATATGCCATATATTTACAAACAAATTCTATGTTTTCTTTTCTTCCTTCTTTCTGCCTTCCTTCCTTTCCTTCTTCCTTTCATATTTCTTTCTCAATCTCTTTTAAGAAATACTTTTTATTCTACCACGTTTTGGTCTGTGGTCTTCTTAACACATTCCTACTCAACTTCTGCCCCACAAAATAACTGAAATTATTTATTTAATTCCCATTGTGCCAGTCTTTCTATACTATGCAGCTATCTTACTCCCAAGATGTTCACAAAGTATTCCTCACATCTTATAATTCTTGCTACTAATATTGATTAATTTTTTAGAATTTTTCTAATATTTCAAGATTGTTTTGAAGTTTAGCCCCAGACACTAATACTGGTAGGTAGCTTGTAATATCTACATATTTCACTGATAATATCTCAAATCTTTTGTTTAGGTTTTCAATCAAGTTATTGACTCCAAAGAACTCCACCAGGAATTCCTGTGACGGCCTGTTGATATGAGCTCCCAGTTGGGAACTTGTGAACAATAATTAACTACTGCAAACAGTACACCATACCATACTTCGTTAGCTTATAAATAACATGTTATATACAACAGCACAAAAACTTTTACTGAAATTAAAATATATTATGTTTCTCAAAGGCTTCTTATCTTTGTGGACTGTCATTCTGCCATAAAAGAGAATTAAATTGATCTGGCATGATGTGTTTTGACAAAGGCAGCCTCTTAAGCTCTTCTAAGTATTTCTAAATTATAAATTGATCACTTCTTTTACTTTATCCTCAGATTTTTATGTTGACCTGATGCTTTCTATGATATTAATATTGATTTTGTAAGTTAGGAATATTCCATTCATGCCTAAAAAAATTATTTCTACTATCTCTGCATTGGAATTTCTCAGTAGCTTGAGGTATTGCTCGATGCATATAATTCAAACTCTCCTAATTTGAATAGAACCAGTCTTTCTGTGTAATTATTTCCCCATTTGAGTTTAGTTCAGCCTTTGCAACCAGAAATTTCTATAGTCAAATCTAATCTTTACCTTAGTCATGTTTAATTATTACTTTTCTTTCTCTGTCTACTTGAAAATAAAAGTACTTTTTTGGTCATCTAATTTTGTCTAGTAAATTAGAACATACCTGCCCTTAAACACAGATTTTGCCACTTTTTTTAATTTCTGGGGATGCTGTTTGCACCCCCTTTTGTGTTTTGACCTTTATGCTACTTCCCTGCAAACTATGTAGAATCAAACCTATCCAGACACAAGAAAATACAAAAGTCAATAGGTTTCTTTAATGAAGCAATGACCAAATAGAAAATGTGGAATTTAAAATTGAAATCGTCTCTTCAAAACAGAAACAAAAATCTGGCAAACCTGTAAGTTCGTTTAACAAGAATTAGACAACACGATTTGATAAATAAACATGCAATTCATAGGCAGACATTTTTAAGTGGATAGAAATAGCACGTTTCTAAATAGGAATATTAAACATACTAAAGTTACAAACTTGTCCCAAATTAATTAATGGTCAAGTGAAATGCCTGTCAAATTTTAAATTCTCTTTAGATTTTTTGGAAGGGTAAATATCCTAAAGTTTATCTAGAAGAATATATGAGAAAGAGAGGTGCCAAAAAAATGTGGAAAAAAAAAGAAGAAGAAAAGAGAGGAGAGAAAGAAGAGAAAACAAAAAGAACAGAAAGGAAAAGAAAGGAAACAAGGCGGGTTAGGGGTGGGGAGGGTGAGGAAGGAAAATTTCAAATCCAGAAGCATCATTGTTAAATAAAAGACCTTAAAGCAACCAGAGAGGAAAAGGTCAATTACCTGCAAATAAACAGAAGTACATCTGGCAGCTGCCTTCTCAAAAGTATCCACGGAAAACAGATGATAATGAAATAGTATCTTCAAAGTGCTGGGGGACCATAACTATCCATTGAGAATTTTGTCCTTAGTGAAATTATTATTCAAAGGTGAAGGCAAAATACAGATATCTCCAAACAAAAGAAAACTGAAATGTAACTACCTCACCAAAATAATGACAAAAGGATATATTTAAGGAAGGAGGAAAGACAATTAATGGAATGCAATATGCAATGATGAGCAAAGAAATTGAAAAACGTTTTGGCAAAATCTCTAAACACCGACTGTAAAAGAAAATTAATGAGTATTTCAGAGGGAATGTTCTTTTAAAAACAAAACTAAGGATACGGACAACAACAATATGAAAGATGGGGAGATTACACTGTAATTAAGTCATTCCAAGATCCATGGATTGTTCAGGAGGGTGAAAGCAATGTTGATTAAATGTAGCCTTTGTTAAGCTTTATAAGTAAACTAGGAGGGGTAACCTCACATGGATTAAATGCCCACCACTATTCCTTTTAACATAATTTCTCTATTCTTGAGTTTGTATTGAGTCTAAGCTACTAGTTTGTTTGACTGTCAAGCAATATGTTTTAAGAAGGACTAACAACTGTTATATTTCCTGATTTAATTCATACTGATATTTGACTAAATTTAGTGTTCTTAGACCATATTTTCTTCCCTTTAGAAGTTTGAAGATAGAACTCTAGCATTTTCTGTCACTGAATATTGCTGTGGTGAAGTAAGAGGCCAACTTCATCCTCTCCCCTTTGTAAGTAAGTTACTTTTTTTGCGTGGATGCCTAAATAATTTTATCTTTCAAGTTCATAACAATTTGGTATTGATATTTCACATGAATTTTTCCTGTATTGCAGTGGTGTTTTTGTTTTTGTTTTTGTTTTCTTGTGACGCTCTCTCACTCAGGCTGGAGTGCAGTGGCGCAATCTCCCCCCACTGCAACCTCTGCCTCCCAGGTTCAAGCGATTCTCCTGCCTCAGCCTCCCCAGTAGCTGGGACTACAGGTGCGCACCACCATGTCTGGCTAATTTTTTGTATTTTTATTAGAGACGGGGTTTCACCATGTTAGCCAGGATGGTCTCAATCTCCTGACCTTGTGAGCCTCACCTACCTCAGCCTCACAAAGTGCTGGGATTACGTGCCCAGCCCAGTGTGTTTTTTGAACACTTTTTTCTTCACTTCTCAAATTATTTTTAATTAGGTCTTTAAATATACTTCTATTGTTTTTGTTTGTCTCATTTCAAAAGCATCAATTTTCCTCATATTAGATCGTTTTTTTCTTTTTTCCATTCTTTTAGAGTTTCTAATTAATTTAATCTCTTTGTTTCTTTTATTTACAAATCATTTCCCCTATTTCATTACTGGTTTACCATCTCTTTCTGAAACCTTTGAAGCCAGATATGTTTTGGAATTTGAAATGATTTCATATTTTAGAAAATAACAAATGCATATCCCATATAGTGTATGATACTAGCAGTAGGGTCTGGGAAGCACCCAGTATTCAAAAGCATTAATGTTTTATTTTTTCAAATAAAACTATAAATATAGATACTCAACTTGTATAAAGGAAGATTATAAATAGCCTCACATCTGTTCAGGACACATTATGAAATTATGCTGCCAAGTGGGGTTACAAAAAAAATACTCTCACTTTTCATAATTTTTTGTATTTTTTTGAATTTCAGATTAGGGAGAGATTATAGTCTTGAAATTCAGCTTTCAATGATATTTATTCTGTTCCTTAACTGTTTAAAAAATATTTAATTAGTTCCATAAAGATGTTGCTTTGAGCCTTGATTTGTTACCTTAGACTTGCAATATCCCTTGTGATCTCATTCTTTTTTATAATTTTGTCTTTTATCTCTCTTATTAAATTAATATTCTCATTAAGTTCTCCATACATAAACAGATAGTGAAGAATTACCTGAGTTATGATTTCTACCAGATTGAGTTGTTTTTTCTTCTACTACATGGTATTTTCCCTTTTTGCCTGTAGTATCTCCACACTTGCTGCATACATCCTGTATTTTTTTCACCTTCTCATGTTAGTTGACTCTGCCTAGATGTTATTTTTTCTTCTATATTGTGATAAATTTTTGGTTGTTTCCCTCCACCCCACCATCTCCAAGACCATTTTTCTCCCCTGCCCCATAGCTTTATTGAGATATAATACACATACCATAAAATTAACCCATTTCAAATGCATCATTTCATCATTTTTAGTATATTTATAGAGTTGTGTAACCATTCCCACAGTACATTTTAGAACATTTGTATTTATGCATAATAGATGTACATAGTACCAGGGTACATGTGGTAATTTAATACATACATATAATTTGCAAAGATTAAATAAGTGTGTTTGGGATCTCCATCATCTTAAGTACTTGTCTTTTTCTTTTGATAGAACCATTCGAATTCTTCTACTCTATTTCAAAGTGTACAATACATTATTGTAAACTATAGTTACCTTACTGATCTAACACTAGCTCTTATTTAGTGTATTAAACCATATATTTGTACCCATTAATCAACTTCTCTTCATTCCCCCTCCCCAATACCCTTCCCCAGCCTCTGGTTACCACCAATCTACTCTCTACTTTCATTAGACCCACTTTTTTTTATCTCCCCCATATGAGTGAGAACATGTGGCTTATTTCACGTACCGTAATGACCTCCAATTCCGTTGATGTTGCTGCAAATGACAGGATCTCATTCATTGTTATGGTGAGTAAGATTCCATTGTGTATATGTACCACATTTTCTTTATCCAGTCATCTGTTGATGAACACCTGGGTTGATTTCATATTTTCACTGTTTTGAAGAACTTTTTTTTTTTTTTTTTTTTTTGAGATGGAGTCTCTGTCGCCCAGGCTGGCGTGCAGTGGCGCGATCTCGGTTCACTGCAACCTCTTCCTCCCAGGTTCAAGCGATTCTCCTGCCTCAGCCACCCAAGTAGCTGGGATTATAGGCACATGCCACCACGCCTGGCTAATATTTTGTATTTTAGTGGAGACGGGGTTTCCCCGTGTTGCCCAAGCTGGTCTCAAACTCTTGAGCTCAGGCAATCCACCTGCCTCAGCCTCCCAAAGTGCTGGGATTACAGGTGTGAGCCATAAAGAACATTTTTATTATTCCATAAAGAAAGCCCATATCCATTAGTCTCCATTTCTCCTCAACTGCCGCCTGCCCTAGGCAACCACTAACCTTCTTTCTGTCTCTATGGATTTTACTATTCTGGACATTTTATGTAAATGAAAACATACAATAAGTGGTCTTTTGTGTTTGGCTTCTTTCACCTAGCATAATGTTTTCAATATTCATCCATGTTGTAGCAAGTATTAGTACTTCATTATTTTTGCCAAACTAATATATTTCATTGTATGGTTATGCCACACTGTATTCACTCATTCATCAATTGATGAACATTGAGTTGTTTCCACTTTGGGGCCATTAGAATAATGCTTTTATAAACACTTATGTACAGGTTTTCGTGAACCATGTTTTCTCTTCTAGAGCCAGGAATTTCGTTCCTTATCCACTTTTTTGTAGTCTGAGAGAACAGCAGCTGGCATGGAGAGCTGTGCAGAAGAGCACGGAAGCTCAGCCTGAGTGGTGTGGACACTACGTTCGATTTTTCGGTTCCTTTCTGTCTTCTGAGATGACATGGACTGTCCTGTATCTGAGTTCATTCCAACTAATGGAGTAGAGGAGAGAGGATATAATGTATTTCCACAATGAGATATTCCCAGGCTTCGAACCCTTTCCCCAGTTGAGTGTGAATTTTGGATTCTTCTCTTTCAACAGAGAAAGTTGGCTCTCTTGATTTATTTTCTTTATTCATTCATTTAATTCATGCTTTCCCAACATCATATCTTCTCTTTACATTCCACAAGCAAGAGTTTTAATGAAATGTCTTGGGACTTTTTGACCACCAGTGGGGCTTCAGAGGAGTAAATGAGGTAGAAGCCAAATCATGTAGCTGCTCTCCATTATCCTCCAGAATCCCGTGTTCCTTCTCTTCAGCACAAGTTTTTCAATGTATTAGATTACATTTTTCCTTTATCTTGTCTGTTGGTGAATGTGTGTGTGTGCGTGCATGCACATGTGTAGAGCAATAACTGTCCAGAGTTGAATGTCCACAACATTCTCTCTTACTACACTAAACTGGATTACCTCTACAACTATAACTATTTTCAAGGCTCACCATAACCTCCATGGTGTGAAATTCAACTTCGTTTTATTTTTAGCAGCAATTGAAATGGATGACCAATGCTTCCGTCTTGAAACACTTCCTTCTTTTGACTTCTGTCAAAACAATCTCTTTGTTTTTGTCTCAGACTCCTCTATCCAGTTTCACAATGTTGGCATGTCTTTGAATTGGTCATAGTCCCTCTTCTCTTTTTCTGTCTATTCTCCTCCTTTGAATAATATTATACAATCCTGTGGCTTCAAACACCATCTGTTTGCTGATGAGGCCCAAAATTTAAACTCTAGGGTAGACTTCTCCCCTGGATTCCAGTCTGATATATCCAACTGCCTACTTCATCATTGGAAGTATAATAAGCATCTCAAATGTAACATATCCAAAGCCAAATTCTTTATTTTTTTCTCTTCATAATCCCGTTCTTCCTCCAGCTTTTCTTATTTTAGTGAATGGCACCATCATCTACCAAAATGCCTAAACTAAAATCACTAAAAACCTCTGAGTCATATTTGGTTCCTCTTTCCTTCATCACTCACTCCAAACCCTATCCCAAACCACTGTTTTATAATCTTACTTGCTTCATCTTTTCCTATAACCCTTTCAGAAAAGTATAAATTGTACTTTTGTGGCCTCCAATATGTACAATGCAAATTTCCAAGTTAATACTATTGCTTAAGTCTAATCCCACTTTAGGCAAACTATACAAACTTACAGGCAAAGTTCCTGCATGCTACTGTCAAGAATAAAGCTCTGCTCACCATGCTTCATTAACCAGTCATTCCCTGGTTGGTAAATGAAGTGGAACATGTTTCTACCAACATAGGTGAACCTCATTATCGAATAATTTAAAGTGTCTTCTTATATATCTACTAGCTATTGTCACATTGGGATTTTTTCTCTTCTCTTTTTATCTTCAATTTTTAAATTGTTTTTCTTATTAATTTTTATAGGAATATCTGCAGCCCTCTAAGTTACTTTCTCCCAGGCTCCTCACAGAAGCTGAACAGAAGAAAAACTGTTTTAAGAATCCTTTATCAATTCCAAACACCTTCAAATTATTGTAAAAATTCCTTAAAAATATAAATAAATAAAAATTTAAAAATAAAAATTCCTGATTGGTCTTAAAGACAACAGCTCAATCATGATCAAATTTCCATTTAGTGATTCAATTAAGTAATCCCCTAAGGAAAGGAACAACACTATGACATATTTATATCATAATCTTGTGCCATACTCTTCAAATCTCCAATTAAATTACCTCAAAAGTCAAATTTACTTTTTAAAAATGTTTGGAAGTATAAGAACAGCATCAAACAATATAAGGTACCAATAAATAATTCTAACAAAATATTTGAAACTTTTACCAAAAAAAGAAACTCTATTAATCAACCATATCTGCCCTGTGCTAACCTGAAATACGACAGAAGTGTTACTCCTTCACCTTCACCTCAATTCCCACACCCTGCCTCCAACCCCAACCCGAGACTGTGTAAGGGGGAGATCTGTCAATCATTCCTGCCCTGCACTTAGTAAGTATCTAGCAGAGGCTACAGAGTGTGTGTTGGGAATGGGGGGATCACAGAGAGAAGGGAGCTGAAGGAAAGAGTTCTTAAATCTGTGCATGAAATCTTGGATAGTTTCCCAAGAGGCCAGTGTGTGAAACCAACCAGAATCAACACAGCCAATGAGTTGAGAATTGAACCCTGGTGAGGAATACTGCCCAGGTTTTAGATTGGCTTCTGGATTACACATAAGTGGGGCATACCAAAATAGCATGGCAACGCCTTTGAAAACTAAGTTGATATTTGAACCACAAACCACCAAAGTGGGCCAGGATGTGTGTTTCTGAACCTAAACCTGCTAACTGCCAACTAAAATAGAAGATCTAAATAAGAATCAGAGTGTCATAACATTATCCTCAAAATGTACAGGATGCAATCCAAAATTTTTGTCATACGAAGAACTAGGAAAACTCAACCCAAATGAGAAAAATCAACAGATGCCAACACCAAGATGACACAAATGTTGGAATTATCTAACAAGAATTTTAAAGCAGCTATCATAAAAACATTCCAACAGGCAATTAAAATCACTCGTGAAACAAATGAAAAAATAGTCTCAGCAAGGAAATAAAAGATATAAAAAGAATCAAATGCAAGTTTTGGAATTTAAAAATATACTAACTGAAAGAAAAAACTCACTAGATAGGCTTCTGGTAGGTAGACTAATCCCTCCCCTCAGGCCAAAATGCCCACATCCTAATCCCTAGAACCTATGACATGTGAGATTATATAGCAAAGAAGAATTAAGGTTCCAGATGAAATTATGGTTGCTTTGAGATGACTGCATCAAAATGGAAAGATTATCCTAGATTATCTGGCTGGGTTCAATGTTATCACAAGGATCTTAAAAAATGAAAGAAAGAGGCAGAAGAGTCCGACAGAGTCAGAGGAGATGTGATAAGAAAAGCAAAGCTTGGAGTGATAGTTTCAATGGCTTTGAAGGTAAAAGATGCCATAAGCCAAGGAACATGGGCAGCCCCTAGAAGCTGGGAAGGGCAGGGGAATGCATCCTCCCCTAGAGGCTCCCAAAAGGCCCATGGTCCTGCAAACATTTTTATTTTAGTCCAGTGAGATTCATGTTGGAGACTGATCTAAAACAAACAGATATAAGATAATAAATTTGTATTGTTTCAAGCTGACACATTTTTGGTAATTTGTTATAGCAGCAACAGACAACTAATACAGATCAAAAGGTCCAATGCCATATATATGTCAATTCTCTTCAAAATGATCTATAAATTCAAAGTAATTTCAACAAAATCAAAAAGAGGCTTTCCATAAAACTTGACAGGCTAATTTTTTCAATGTCTATATAGAAGAATCAAGAGATAAGAATAACCCAACAGAAATAACAAAAAGGAGCTATTAAATTTTTTCTGTAAAGGGGCAGATCATAAATATTTTAGGTTGTTCTGGCCACATATGGCCTCTGTCATGTCTACTTCTTTGATTTTCTTTATTATTTAATTCTTTAAAAATGTAAACCATTCTTAGCTTGAGGGGTGTATAAAATCAAACAACCAGCTGGATTTGGCCCACGGGTCAGTTTGCTGATCCCAGAATTTAGAACAACATTGATAAGCTTTACAATCATATTGAGAAAAAAAAGATTGTAGAAGAATACATGTTGAGTGGAAACACTAAATAAGATTGTAAATCCTGCAAAACAGTATTATTTATACACAAACATACACACATATAACCACACGCATTTTATAGGTTTAAATAATCGTACAGAAAATAAATTACATGCCCCAAGTTCAGAACACAGTTTCTGATGAGAGGGAAGAGAGAATGGGAACAGATGGAATAAAAGAGGGCTTCAATAGTCTCAATAATATTTATTTCTCAAATTGGTTTTTTAATTTATATTACATAAGCCGTAATCCTGTACACACTTGATATATGTCATAATAAGTAAAATATTCTTGGTAGATTTTTGCTCTGTTAGGCAAGGGATGACTCCCCAAATTATTGGGACATGGATTTTCTTCAGTAGATGGTGTTTCTCATCCTTGCTGAGGCTCTGTACTCCCGTTTTACAAATTAAAGGTGAAAGTTTGGACATTTGGTTTTCAAGAATCAAGGAGAGCACGTCCAATTCATCATTTTATCTGTGACACAGAAAGCCTGGCTTTTCTCTCAACAACAGATGTCTAGAAACTTCCCAGAAACCTGTAGTGAAAGAGACCAGGGCTCTCTTAGCCTCTCCCACAGCACACACACACACGTGTCTCAATCGTTTGAGGATTCAGAATTTTAGGACTTTGCACCAAGATACTCCAATTCACTAAAATGTCCTTCAAGTGCCAGTTGTCTTTGCCACAGTCCCACTGTCTTGAGTTCCTGGAACCTCCACTCCACTTCTCCTCATTTATTTCCTTCCAACTTGAGAGTGAAGGTCAGAGGATGATAGAAACACAGTCAGAAAACACGAGAAGCAGTCTGCCACAAACCTCCCAAACTACAGCAGAATGGGGTTGGGAGGCAGGCCCAGTCTGGGGTGCAAAAACAGCTGGGCATGCAGAGAGAGTGTAGTGCCCAAGGAAGAGTCGTGGGCCAGGTCACAGTGGACACTAAGACTTCCTGGAGGAGCTAGGCCCTTCCCAGGAAAGGGAAGGGCAGGATAGTGGATACCCCACGCAGGCAGCACGTTGGGCTGAAGATGGCTGGTGTCATTATCAGGAAGATGAAACACACGGGGCAGGGTGCTAGCCACAGGCCCGGGTGTCAGGAACGGAGATGCCTGAACTCACAGGAGAACAACAAGGTAGTCAGAACCAAAGCAGAGCTCAGTTCTTAGAAACAGAGCACTCAGGAGCTCAGGGACATCACCCAGGTCATCATAGGTGACCCAGGATCTGGGAAAGATCACAAGAGGAGAAAGGAGAAGGCAGCCATGGCCCCTCTTCTGCCCACACTTGTCTTTTTCCTCATGCTTCTCCCTCCCATCCCCAACCCGGGCATTAATTATTTCTACTAACATCTGCAGCACATTTTTCAGATTCACTGCTGGTACAAAGAAAGAATCACAAAATAAAGTTATGTTATTGTATTTGTAAAATGGTGCCTCTTTGTTTGAAAATTGCTTAAGTTTTTGAAATGTCTACCCATCCAGCATGATTAATGCGATACATACAGTGGAGCAGCAGAGTGAGTGGAGAATTAGAGTCGGTGCCAGTTCACCTAGAGGCATTTATCTTTTCTTTTTTCCCTGGTGCCTGCGCAGAGCCTGAGGGTAAGCTGACACTTTTTTTTTTTTTTTAAATAAATTAAGCTTCATTTTCTGTTTTGCGTGTGTGCTAAGAACCTTGAAGGGAATGAGCAATGTCTGCAGCCTCCAATACCAGCTGCCATGGCAGGAAAGAAAGAGGTGACAATTTCCCGCAGATTCAGAATGATTGTTTTAATGGGGCTGTGGCGGAGGCAACGAGCACAAAGATATTGTGCTGCCAGGAAAAAGCAGGCTCTCTCTTCCCCAGCCTCGCGCTACATGATGTAACATTTAGCTTCTGGGTTAACGTGGCATCTCTTCCCTGCGTTGATTTATTCCCACTTTTGCAAATCACAGAGGTATGTTACAGGAGATGCATTTACAGCCGTTGTTATAGCTCATTGAGGAGCAACGCTGTTATCCCCACCAGAGGACAATCTCATGCGTATCAGGGTGAGTGACCTAGAATAAAAGGAAAGAATTTTTTTGAAAAAAAGAGAGAGAGAGAGCAGGAATATAGATGTTATGCTAGGACGAAATTGTATTTACCTTGATTGAAAACTCTTTTATTATGAACATAATTTAGATCAGAATGGAAAAGAGAACTATTGGGCTCCCTGCCTGGCTGCAAGTGTTGCTGAGCACACAGCCGCTACAATAATGTAAGTGCATATGTAATGACTGTGTTATTGTGTTTATATACGAAAGCATTATGCTCCATCAAAGGAAATGAAAAATATCTTCATGGGTTTGCTCAGTCAGCTTCTTTAGCAGAAAATGCTTGGAAGTGTAGAATAGTAACGGGTGACCAAAATACAGAGCAATAAAAGAACTATGCAGGCTTAATCTTATGTGGAAGTTAGATACCATCTGAAACAGTAAAATGCTGACCAGACTCTGGCATCCTCAGAATAGTTAATGTGGGGCCTTTATTGTGATTCTGGCATAAGTGTTCCTTGAGCACAAATTATGCCCACAGTACTGTGTTGAGTAAAATGTATAAAACAACAGGGCTGTCTGCAAGAAGCTTACAGTCCAGACTGGACAGACAAAACAAATACACAGAGAGAGATCATTAGAAATACAAAGGCGAAATTTCAAATGAGTTGCTGTAATTAATCAAATTCTAATGAGACTATTCTGAAAGTTTAGTCACTTTCTCTAGAATGTGTGTGTCAGTGTATTTACAAATACATTATATATATATATATATATATTTTTTTTTTTTTTTAAGAGACAGGTCTCACTCTGTCACTCAGGCTGGAGTACAGTGGCATGATCACAGCCCACTGCAGCCTCTAACTCGTAGGTTCAAGCAGTCCTTCTGTGTCTGCCTCCCAAAGCACTGGGATTACAGGTGTGAGCCGCAGCACCCAGCCTATACACATACACTTAGATATAAGCATTTTTATTTTTATACATGTTTTTACATTTCTAACATCCTTAATTAAGAAGTTCCTGTTTCCTTATTTCTAAGACTTTCTCCATGTCAAAGCTACTCTAAGAACCAAGAACCAAGACAGAGTAGAAGTATTTGTTTTGTGTTCTACTCATAGTCCATGTATATGAGCCTGCAGGCATTTTTGCTGTCAGTCCAAGTTGTTACAGACTTTCCACCACACAGCGCAGACCAGTGCTGAACACTAATTGACAAGGAAAGAGCTCAAAGATTGACTCCTTGGCTCATGGTCACGTGATAAATATAAACAATTTCCCCTAAGTAGTCTTGAATAGGGGTAATTGTATATATTTATCTTCCCACATAAACATTGTTTCTAAAAGACAAAAACCGAGCCTGCCTTCAGAGGGCTTACAATCGTGTAGGGAAATAACACTCAGCTTACAAAAATAAAAATAAAAAATAAAAATAAAAAACAAGAATGAATGGTCCAAGGCAATATATGATTAAGAGAAAAAAGAATGTGCACAGTGGGTGCGGTGACATCTGGTTTTTCTGACCCACCTGACACTTTCCAAGTCTTTTACCAGCAGCAGCTACTCACTCCCACACCTACCTCACTAGGGTAGAAATGTGGCTATTAACCTGCTTGGTTTTGTGTAACCATATTTTTTTTTCTGGCCAAAATAGCCTAAGAGTAAAAATGTAAACAGAGAACATTTTTATTTATAATGCCAGTTTACAAAAAAAAAAAAAGAAAAAAAGAAAAAAAATCTGACTCTGTCCTCATATATTTATAGCTAGTGATTCTGAGAATACCCAGAACAGTTCTCTGTCATTCTCCTCTTTTCTTGTACCTGCTCATGGTGGTGAAATGTATCGCTCATCAAAGGTCAACCATGGTTCTCACATGGATTAAAGACACTGCTAACAGGGGTCAGGAGAAGGAAGTGCTTAAGAATCTAGGGTCAGATGCTACATTTCTAATCCCAGTCAAATGTGCATGACAGCCACAGCACTGAGGCTTGGATGATCTAATGCCACAATGGGAGGTCAGGCTGTCACCACCTTAAGATCATGATCAATTTCAGTGTCATTAATGGTGAGACAACCAGAGAGTAGATACTTCTCCCAATGGGATGCAATGCTACTTAACACATACAGCAACACCTATGAAGAATTCTTGCTAAAAGGTTTTACTTGAATCTAATTGAGCCTTTAAATATAAAAGATAGAGGAATGGGTTAAATGACAACATAAGGAAACAACGACACAAATACAGAAGGAGGAACATTACAAAGGACAACCATTCTGGTCCCTTCAAAAGCCAATGTAATGATTCTTTTTTTGAAAAAAAAAAAAAAAAGAGGCTATATTGTACTATTTTAAAAAGAAAGGAAGGAGGACTTTTCTATATTAAAAGATAGTTAAGAAATATCATAATCAAATGCGACATTTAATTTGACTCCGGTTAAAGCAAATGAGCTATAAAAGACATTTGTGGTGGGGAACTGGCGAGATTTGAATATAACTGAATATTAGATGATGTTGGAGAGCTGTTGTTAATTTTGACAAGGGTGATAACGATGGTATGATTATGTAGTAAGTGTCCTTATTTTTCAGAGGTGTATATTGAAATATTTAGGAGTGAACTGGCATCATATCTGAAACTTAGTTTAAAATACTTCCACCAAAAAAACTACTCAAATACAGCAAAACGTGTGTAATTATTGGTATATGGTATAATGGTAATTCTTATTCAGACACTTTACTTTTCAATGTGTAAATTTTCATAATGAGAAAATTTAAAGGGATGATGTAATGCATGTGAATTGTTTAACAGAATTCCTGGCACACAATAAATGCTTATTAATATTGGCTTTTATCATAATTGTTGTTTTTGTTATTTCCAAGCTGTCAGGGCTGCTGCTGATGCCTGCTGACGTTACCATGAAGGCTGCTGCCACCCAAAGGTGAGAGAATAGATATAGATTCGGAGCATCATCTCCAGTTCCTGCGTAAGCTGCAAAAGCCAATGCTGGTGAGGCCTCGTGCTCTCAATAACCCAGCATTTCTCTTTTTCCTCTTTTTGCTTTTCATCACTCTTAATGTAATCTGTTCTACAGAAACTGGACCAGAATGATAGCACTGGGCTCCACTCAGGAATACAAGTCCTAAGATATTGACGAGCAAGCTGTACCGCAGTGGGGTGAGGGTTGGAAGAGGGAAGGCTCCAGAGCCCGGGCTTCATTCTCTCATGTGAAGAAACGACAGGGAGAGGACACTCTTGGAAACTCTCCACCTCCCTCACTCTCCTCTAAGAAAGAGGGTTGCTTTATCTCGTTGACAAATTTAGAAGCAAACACTGGGCATGAGCAGCTCAACTCCTGCCCATATAGGACTCGCTCTGGTGCATTCTCCACATCCAAAGCTTAATGGCACAGACTCTGTCCCTGCAACGGGAGCCTATGGCACTGCCTGTGATTGGGGGTGAGGTTGTCTATTCTGAGATTCAAGATGGAAGCCTCCATTGCCCCTCCTAAGCCATGCTTTCCAGCATTGTAATAAAACTGGATGTTTTTTCCCCTCTATCTCCTTTATTCCACCTTATCATTTGGGTTAGCATTTGGATGGGGGGAAAGAGGCTATTATGTGTCAACCTTCTCAAACCCCAACATCCTGGACCAAATACGTGAACCTCTAATTTTTCTACTGAGAAAAATTCTTTTCCAGGTCCTTCATATAAATAGATACACATTCTGCTTTGTGAGTCCTGTAGAAATGCCTAGATATGCCTGCATTTTAGAAAAACACAGTTGACTTGCGATTTCTGTTCTGTGTATGTGTTGCTGTTGTTGTTTTCATAGAGATGGAGTCTCGCCGTGTTGCCCAGTTTGGTCTTGAAGTCCTGGGCTTAAGCAATTCTCCCACCTTGGCCTCCTAAAGTGCTGGGATTATAGGCATGAGCCACCACACCTGGCCTGTTCTCTGTGTTTTTAAAAAACTCAGTAAACTAGCTGTCTACATATCAAACTCCTAGAACTGGGTAAATGGGTTATATCCATCTTATATTTAGGAAATGTTCAAATTGAACATTCTGAGTGAAGCTGAGTGAAGTATGAAATTGCCACCATCTCTCCAGCTATTCTAATTTTTCAAATTAAAAAGAGGAAAAGAACAAAGCTCTATGTGCTACAAGTGTGGAATTAGTTAGTAATCAATTTTTGCCATGGCTTGGGGGAATGCTAAAGTAAATCTTGGAGTTGAAATGGAAGCCCTCCCAGTAACCATCTTGACCTCTTCCTTCCCTAATAATTTCAACTATCAGCAGATATACTTCCTATGAGGGTATGTCACCAAATTAATAATGCAAATCAACTAATACCTTGGATTTTTATGAGTGCAGAAAACACCTACACATGAACAAAAAAACTAAAGACAATTATTTTTACATATATTTTACATTGTGGTAAAATATACATAACATAAAATTTACCATCTTAATCATTTTAAGGGTACAGCTGAGTGCCATTAAGCACATTCACATTATTGTGCAACGATCACTGCCATCCAAATCCAGAACTCTTTTCATCTAACAAAATGAAATTTCATACCCATTAAACAACAGCTCCTCATTCTCCTGCCCCTAGACCCTTATGGTTACCACCCTTTCTGTCTTTATAAATCTGACTAATCTAGGTTTCTCATACAAATGGAATCATACACTATTTATCTTTTGGTAACTAAGACAATTATTTTTAGGTGGCTTCTCTATATCCTCTGCATGTCACTTGTATATGCCTTGCCATGGACTTATCTGCCTGATAATCCACCCAGGAATTGCATCAAAACATAAGCCAGGATAGTTGACATTTAGAAGATCATCTTTCTATTTGATTTTTATATCTAGAAGTCACCATGTCAACAGAAGTCACCAAGTCATAGACTATTTTCTTTTTTGAAGTTAAATTCACAAAGTCAGAACACTCCCAAATTTGCCTTGTGCAAAGAGCCCCCTCTACACCAATTTCTGGAAACCTCCTACATGTGGTATTACGCTAGGCTATGGGCAGCAGACACCAAGAAGAGAGGCCAAAAGCTAGACTCAGAGAGCCAAAATAAGCAGCCAGAAGTCTAGAGGGAAGGCTATCAAAAGAAGGTGAATATCAACAGGCAACATCACAGACAAAGTAGTCAAAACTGAAGTAACGCTCACTGTGAATGTTCAATAGTGCCACCGGAGTACAACTTACCATGTATGACAGATGCTCACCCCCACCAGCAAAATGTATCTAGTATAGGAAAAACACAGTAGGAAAATACTCTATGTTATCCATTTTTATTATTTAATATTGAAATGAATTATTTTAATTCTATCTCTCAATTCAGTCATCTCATTTCTACCCACAGAGATATCAAATCCAAAATCGGAATGGTGTCTCACCATTTAATTCAATTTATTCTACATAAATAGCTTGCTTTATTTAAAAATTTTTTTAAAAGGCTTGGTCTGAGGACCCAGAGGAAAGAGAGATCTTTTGCGTTGGATAGTCATTACTCTTACAAAAAGTCATTTTGAGAATAAAAAATCAAAACTAGTTTAAACTTTTGAACTGAAAGAGCATACACTAAATATCATGAAACTATGATTAGAAATAGTTTTGAGGAACCAATGATAAGTTTTGCTCTAACTGAAACTACTACAGGTTGAGTATCACTTATCCAAAATGCTTGGGACCAAAAGTGTTTGGATTTCAGATTTTTTTTGAATATTTACATTTTACTTACTGATTTAGCATCCCTAATTCCAAAATTTGAAATTCTAAATGCTCCAATGAACCTTTCCTTTGATCATCATTTCTGTTCTCAAAAAGTTTCAGATTTTGGAGCATTTCAGATTCTCAGATTAGGTACACTCAATCAGTATTTATAAAACTTGGTAACTAATTCTGAGACTTGGTACTTTTTTCTCATTTTGAGCAAATTCCACCTTTCTGTGCCTTCAATTCTTCATATGAATAGTCAAGATAGTAATTTTCAAAGTTCTTTGAGGTCCTGACAAACAGGTATTTTCATCATCACTGAAACATATTAAAGAATTAAGCAATTAAAACTTAAGACTTACCTTAGTCCATTTTGAGCTACTATAACAAAATACCACAGATTGCATAATTTATACTAAAGAGACATTCATTGATTGGCTCATAGTTCTGGAGGCTAGGAAGTCTGAGATCAAGGGACTGGCCTCTGGCAAGGGCCATCTTGCTGTGTCAGAGGCAGAAAGCAAAAGGATAAGAGAACAAGAGCAGGATGAACTTGCCCTTTTGTAATGGCACCAATCCCACACATTTGGGTGATGTCCTCCTGGGCCTAATCACCTCTTAAACTTTCTGCCTCTTAATACTGTTACAATGGCAATTAAATAGGTCTTGGAGGAGACACACATTCAAACTATAGCAAGACTTTAATTCACATGAAAGTATCATGGTCCTAGAAAAGACATCTCTATATGCCAAATATCAGAGCACTTGGGCATATCATTTCTCCTAACATACAATCTACTGTATAGTCTTAGACTGTTAGAGGTAGAGTCTGGGAAGCCAACTACAGAAAATTCTTCGTTTTTCATTACAAGAAACTTAGGTCTAGACTGGTTTAACTTATTTGGTTAAGTCGTGTATAAAGAATAAAAATTCAAACCTCTTGAATCTAATTTCAATGCTATCTACATTACACTAAAGAAAAATACCTAAATAGTGAATAAAGTAATGAATCTTAGTTTGGAATCCACCTCCTAGGAGATTCTCTGAGTCATCTCATTCTAACCAAACTTCTCCAAGACAAGGGATGCTACTGAACAGAAAAAAAGCTGGGCCCATGAGGTTAAACTGGCTCCTAAATAGACTGTGTTGGCCATGATCCATGTGCGTAATGGCCTGCTGTAACACCTATAGCAACCTTCATAAAACAGGCGCTAATGTTGGGGAAAACAAACAGTTAACAATTGTAAGGGCTCAGTTTGAATCACTCCTGGGCCAAATTTAAGTTATAAGTGACTTCAGTCCAAGCTCCAAGTAAAGTAGACTCTATAAAGAATTTTAAAGATAAGCAGATTTCCAGTGTCTGAATATGTAGACGAGATAATGATATAAGGAAGAGAATTGTAGAACCAGCATATCTTTTAGGATAAGTAGAACCTATATAGAAAAAGTAGGCTGCCATCTGAGGTAAAATAGCACAAGGCTGTTAAGGTATTTTGCAAGTTTCAGAAAGTTTAAAACTAAGGAATGGGGAGGAAAATGGATGGAAACATATATCTGTGTCATCTAAGATTGAAATACAGCAATCAAGGAGAAAGTTGAGGGTACATCTGGAAAAAAAAAAAAATAAGGATAATAAAACAAAGATGCCCTAATCTAAGAACTAATGGATGAGAGAGGTAGTGAAAGATCAATTCAGTATGCAAAACTGCTTCAAATAAACATTAAAGACTTACCAGACCAAATGGCCATATGGGAACACTTGGCAACAAATAAGGACTATGATATAATTAGCAGGTATGGAACCAGCTAGTCTCTTGCTGCCAAACAAAAACTCCGTATAGGAAGGATATGGCGTAGGCACACAGGAGAAGATGTGACTTTGTATTTTAAGACATTGTAAACCAGGGATGTCCAAACTTTTGGCTTCCCTGGGCCACATTGAAAGAAGAATTGTCTTTGGCCACACATAAAATACACTAACACCAATGATTAATGAGCTAAAAAAAAAATCACAAAAATATCTCATAATGTTTTAAGAAAGTTTACAAATTTGTGTTGGGCTGCATTCAAAGCCATCCTGGGCCACATGCAGACCACAGGCTGCGAGGTGGACAAACTTGTCTTCAACAAAAACAAGTTGCAAGACTTTACAAGAAAAGGAAATACGATAGAATCACTGTGGATAGAAATGCTATACTTAAATATCTAGATTAGGGGTTGGCAAACTACAGCCTACAGGTCAAATCTGGCCCCACTGCTTATTTCTCTATAATTTTCAAGTTCTCATTTTTAAATGGTTGAAACAATCAAAAGAAGAATAACACTTGATGACACATCAAAATGGTGGGAAATTCTAATTTCAGTCCATAAACAAAGTTTTATTGGAACACAGCCATGCTTATTTGTTTACATAGTGTCTATGGATGCGTCTACACTACATCTGCAGATTTGAGTTGCTGCAACGGAGACCATATGGCCCACAAAGCCTAAAATTTTATGACCTGGCCTTTTATAGAAAAGTTTGCCAGGCCCAATCTAAATAATAAAACAGAAATACTAGAAGATAGCAAATTTCAAAATTATCTCTAGTAGTCATAAATGAGGAACTTCAGTTATCTACACATTAATTTGTGGAAATGTAAAGTTAAGGTTTTGATTAAGACGACTACTTCCTATGACAGGCCATTTTAAAACTTACAAGGAAAGGACCCTCTATCCAAGGCTCCAGCTAATGGGTATGAGCTGGATAGAAAGTCTCTGTTGGAAACATCCATATAAGCGTGATTCCAGACTGAGTCTGTCTAAAAAATAATCAATGACACAGGGCCCTAGTTTGAGAAGGAAATTATTTTTTTAAAGTGATGTTAGTAAGAAAAGTTTAAAAGGTGAGATAACAACCCAAAGAAAATTTGAAAATTATTTTAAAATATATTTTGGAGGGCCATGAAAAATATAAGCCATAGAGCAAAAGATGAGAATTTCAACAGTAAAAACAACAATAACAGAACTCCATATACTTTATCAGTGAAGTTTAGGAAGAAAACATACTGTTGAAAAATGCATCGTATTAAAAATTAGTGTGCCCAAATGGAAAAAATAATAAGGAATATCATAGATAGCAGAATATATACAAAAAAAAGTTTTAAAATCTAAAAAATAATTAGCCAACATTTCTGAGGGACCAACCTCAGTAATAAAATCTTTGTTAGAAACATGGGCGGCAGAAATCGATGAAACCAATTGATTGATGACCACGATATGAAAAGTCCATTCAGGTCTGAAAAGGAGATAGCAGAATGAATAAGTGTATAAAGGAAAGCATTAGTGACATTCTCACTCCTAAATTAACTTTTGAAGCAGATCAGTCACAGGTACAAAAATCAAACAGCAATAAATAAACTGGATGTTCTTGGCTGAATCAATAATGCATTTGGTCACAATTTTCTCTCCTGAAATTGAGTAATCACTGGAACTAAATGGGCTCCACCCAAGAGTTTAGAGGAAACTCAAGGGTGAAATTTTGGATCCATTGAAACTTGTGTAGACAAATCAATTTAATGGAGGACTGGCAAACTAGTAATGTGACAGGCATTCATGAGTAAAGACCAAAGAATATGGCTCCCTGTACACTTAAGTGTAACATAATCTACAGCTAGAAAGGCAAAAGAGTTTTTGAAAGTGGATTATACCTCTCTAATATTTCTAAGGAAGCGTATGAAAAAAAAGAATCCTGTAGGTGTCTTCTATTTAAATACTTAGTAAAACTTTGATAAAAATCCATGAAAAATTGTGTAGATTTAATAATATGCCTTATTGCAAAAGTAATATATGTTCTTTGTAAATGTGGAAAATACAGAGATGCAAAGAGAATAAAATTAAAATCATTCATAATCCAGCCAACCAGAGATGTCCACTGATAATGTTTTGCCATACATTATTTGGGAGCAAACGTGGAATTTCATTAACTGTTTTATCTTGGAAGACAGCTGACGATGGCTCCAAAAAACGAGAGAAGGGCAAGAAAAAATATTTTTTAAATTGTTCCAATTCACAAAGGGATGATATGACATAACAAGAGACTATTTCCAATGAAATTCTCAGATTTACACATGACGCTAAGTTCTTTTTAATAGTGAAATATTATGCCGTTTATGCAGAGGAAACTGAAAACTTCACAATACTGCATATGGGCGCAGAAAACTGGCAGATGAAATTCCTTATAGGCAAGCATAAGAGAATACATTCAGGGGAGTATAATGCCAATTATCCTGGAAAATGATAGATTCCCATCTACAATACTATGCAGCATGCCATCATTACAAACTATACCCTAAAGACAATATACCGATTTCACTAAAAGATCAAAACTGATGCAGAAACCAATATTCTACTCTCAGAAATAATGGTATATCCGCAGCTAGAATACTCTGTGCATTTAAAGTCCTTCTACCTTAACAAGGGCCAAGATGTTTCAAAGAAACAAAGAGATCAAAGAAGTGAAAACGCTTGCCTATGAGAATCAGTGTTAATAACTGGCATTCTCCAATCTATAAAATATAAATGTAATAGCTGAAATATAAATGAAATAAAGGCTATAAAACAGTGATATTTCTAGAGTAGGTGATGCCCCTTAACCCAGGGCCCGTGGACCTTAGGTTTACAAATTTATTTAAACGGCATGCACATTTTCTTCATATCTATACATGTGTGTACATAAATATATACTTTTGTTACACACACACACACACACACATATATATATCTCCTGTTCACTGGATGTATACCGATCATCAGATTCTTAATGAGGTTCATTAAAAAATCTCAAGAACTAGTGGTCTAGATGGTAGGGGTGTGGCTTCGGTGAATAATTCCCGGCAGCACACCTTGAGGCTTGAATGAGAAAGCTTTAGTACCAATTTACCCCATGAAAAATAAACATATGGAACTCATTTCCCTGACGATTGCTATAGACTAAGACGGCAAGAGTGTCTTGGAATGTTTGAGGGAGGTGTTTGTATCGGGGCTCCATGAGAGCAGAGACTGAGGTCTGCTTTATTCACCACTGTATCCCTAGTGCTTAAAACAGGGCCTGGCACATAACAGACACTCAATAAATACTTGTTGAATGGATTGATTTGTGTGCTGAAGGACAGCCATACCCCCACTTGAGAAAGAGAGAAGAAAGACAGAGGCATGGAGGAAAGAATGGAGAGAGGGAGGGAGAAAAGGAGGGAGAATGGATATACTGGAGTAGAAGGGCTGTTTTTCAGCACATTAATTTATCAATTTAACAAGTATTCACTGAGTCCTGATATGCACCAGATATTGTGTTCTAAGGTTCTGTTTTTAAACACTCGATCTTGGTGGCGTGTCAGAGGCAGCTCCTGCCTGAGCTCCAGGTCTGCCTCAGTGTGGCATTTCTGATATTTACAAGGATGAAGCTGTTTCCTTCCTGCCCTCCTTCCCATGTCCTCATCTCATTTTTTTGTTTGTGCATCTACCACAATGAAGACACCTAGATTGTGGAGGCAGGAGTGGCATCATGTCAGCAAAGAATTATTGAATTTGGCCTACAGGGAAGGAATCAGGAATGAAATATCAAAGCAATAGTTTATAAGAGTTTATGAACATAAAACGTGCACAACTGTTAAAT